AGACCTCTGGGTGGGCGAGTGTCGGATAAACAGATAACAAGAGAAGGTGGAGTTCTAGATTTATTCAGTAGTGGTGACAATGTTATGGTTAACCGTGGCTTCGACATAAAGGACATTGTGCCCGATGGTGTCACAGTTAATATGCCCCCTTTTTATCCGGACGAGATCAACTGACTGCATCAGAGAGAGAGGAAGCCATGACTATCGCCTTTGTGCGAATACATGTGGAGAGGGCAATTTGTAGGATAAAGACTTACCATATTTTGGATGGTAACTTACCCAACACTTAAAGCCCCTACGCAACACAAATAGCCACAGTATGTGGACTATTGACAAAATTTTCTTCCTCCATTGCTACCTCCTGCAAAACGAAAACCCTAAATTCCTTTGTTATTAACTTATTTTGTTTACACACCTAAAATGATTTCTGGCATGTTTATCATTTTGCAACCCCTAGACAATCAGATGGGAGATAAAGCAACAAACACAAATTTCAAGAAACAAGATAATTAAATTGCCAATGTGGTTTCTTGAAGTTAAGTTTTGTGGTTTGGTCTCTCTCCTGAGTGGCTCTTAGCTACTGTTGCTTAACTCGAGGTTCTGTCATTTTAAATGGAAAGGAGTATTGGTACTCTCTCAACACTATATACCCATGACAAAATAAGTCTTAGTTTTATAAAGTTTTTGACTGTAACTAATGTAACACCCAGCTGACATTTCAAGTATTGGCAGTTCACACTTAACTCCATAGAAGTACAAATTCATCCTGCAAGGTGATTTGCTTGTGTCATCAAGGTTCTTATGGACACATTCTTAGCACTGTTACATGAAAGGAAGAGTAATCGTTGTAGTAATAAATGATGTAAATTTACTACCCAATAATTGTTTACAATTGCCTTTGAAATTGCATTTTCAAACCAATACTTGTGCAGCAATATTGGCCGTTTATTATATGGCTGTGTCTCACAAGGACTGGGAACTACCGAATTCAAGAATTTGATTGGCTGAAATCGATATTGAAAGCGGTTTAGATTTTCCCATCTAGACCGGCATCTAGACCGGTAATGTTTTGCGGTGAAAAAGTTGCAAACTTTAATGCAAAAATGTTGACTATTTTCTTCGAACAATATTTATTTATGGCAATGCCAAAAAGTCTGATAAGAAAAGAAAAGTAAAAAGGACGAGCAGACTTCGGCAGAATTAAGTTCAGCTCATCCCCGTTCGCAAGCAAAATGTCGGCTAGTACAAACCAGTTATACTAAATGAATTAAATTTCTTTTACTTGCCATATAATAAACATCTTATTAACCGAGCAGGAGGTCCGTATGGGAGAATCTTGACCTCGGTCGTGTGTACAGACCTCACTGTGTTCGGTCTGTACTCACGACCTCGGTCAAGATTCTCCCATACAGACCTCATGCTCAGTTAATAAGAGCTAAATGGCAACCAACCTCCACGCAGGTATAGAATCTTACCCCGCTGCACTCGTCTGGTAATAAGCTCAGGGAAAAGAGCACGTCTGTAAAAGAACTCTATCTTTGGCAGGGAGTCACTGATCCAAGAGTTGTCCAAGTAAATATTCTCCACAAATAGTGGTCTTCTCTGTAAAGTATACTATAAAAATGATCCCTTTAAGATCCAAGTTAGAACAGTAGAGCTGCAGTTGAATTGGTACATAATAATCATGATTTTGTTTTACCTTGCAGTTCCATCGGAAAGTTCCTCCAGAGAAAAAGTTTTATTTAGGCAGGCTTCTTCAATAGTCATGCCTGCTTTGCTTAAGGGAGATTTAATTTCTATTCCCCATTTTTCGTGTGTATCCTTATTGGTTGCAATCCTGTCCATGCTTGCCCCCAGGTATGGCTTGTCCTTGGACACCAGTAGTCTAATTTCCTCAACAGTAACAGCAATGCCATCCTCTTTCGTTTCCCTGATATAAAGGTTCACTGCCTTTGCTTCACTTTCGATGCCATATTGAGTAGCATCTGTTGTAAAATTCGAGTAAATGATTGATTTCAACTTATTTGAAGGTTCCACTTTGTTCTTAGCTGCTTTTCAAAAGAGATTGTTTTGAGAGAGTTGTTCTCTCCGTTTCATCTATCTCTTTTTGGGTGATTGTTAAGCCGGAAACATGGGAATCAATCATAGATTTAAAGTGCTCAGTAGCAATATCATAACTGTCTGTAAAAGGCACACACTCTGATGCCTCGTTGATCTCTTCAGAGTCTGACTCCTCTACACAGTTTGACTTGATGTCATGGAACAATAAAAACATGAACTGGCAGGGAGACAATTTTGAAGACTTTACTTAAAATCTTGAAACTGTTTTTCTCTCTTGTTTGCTGATTTGGTGATCTTGAATCAAATTTTATAACCTTTGACTGAAGACGAATATTTTTCTCACCAAATCGTATCTTTCTGATTAGCACTTGGTCGAGAGGTTTAGCTGCAACACTTTGGTTGCAGGGTACAACCCACACAGACAGCCGCGATGTACATGACAAACGCTTATGGAACGCCAGAACTGTCTTATGATACTTTTTTTATTATATTGGGTTGTTATGTCATTATATTTGGTACCTATGTTATTATATTCGGTGATTGACTCATTATACTCGGTGCCTATTCCATTATACTCGGTGCTTATGTCTTTATATGCGGTGCTGTCTTCATTATATTCGGTGCTTATTCCATTATATTCGGTGCTTCCCTCGTTATATTCGGTGCTTTCTTCGTTATATTAGGTGCTTTTTTCATTATATTCGGTGCTGTTTTCATTATATTCGGTGCTTTGTTCATTATATTCGGTTCTAACTTTGTTTGGTGTTTTCTTCATTATTACGGGTCCTAACACAATTATATTCGGTGCTCTCTTCCTTATATTCGGTACAAAGGGCATTATATTCGGCACTTCCTTTCTTCGGTGCTTACTTCATTATATTCGGTGCTTACTTCATTTCATTCGGTGCTTTCTTCGATATGATCGTCACCAGTCTTCGTAAGGGGCCGTACAATTTGGAGGTAGTCTGGGGAAGGTAGGAAAACCCCAGAATGCAATTCTCAACTTTCCCGCTCTTTGTTCAAAAATGGCGGAGAAAGCAGAGCTTATGGCAGCTATTCTCAAACAACATAACTTGGGCGGTCTAGTTGAAGTATTCCAAAAGGAGAAGATTACCCCTGATATAGTTTCACTATTGTCTGTGCGTGAAATGAATCAGTTGGGTATAAATACCCGAGGTGATATGATGAAACTGCGAATGGTATGCGCCATCCATGGCAAACGAAAACCACCAAAGGAACGACTACAATCTGGAGCTCCAGCGTTTGATATCCCCAAGTCAGTTCTCGAGAATCACATAGAAGAGGGTTTCATGATCAAAGAAATTGCCTCTATGTTGTCCGTCTCGGAAAGTACAATTTATCGTAGAATGCAAACCTACGGACTGAGCTCTTTAGATTTCAGTGATATTTCTGATAAAGATCTTGATTATCATATGACAGAATTATCGAAGGACTTCCCCTTTTGTGGAGAGGGAATGATGAAGTTTCTTCTTCAACAAAGAGGCATTAAGGTACAAAGGATGCGACTTCGGGACAGCATCCACCGCGTGGATCAGGAGGGAGTGCTCGAAAGAAAGAAAGGCCGCTTGCAACGAAGAGTGTATAATGTCCAAGGCCCAAACCACTTGTGGCATATTGACACTAACCATAAACTAGTGAGGTGGAACTTTATCGTGATTGGGGGAATTGATGGTTATAGCCGACTTCCTGTAATGTTGCAGTGTGCAGATAACAACAAAGCACCGACAGTTCTGGCCTGTTTCCTAGAAGCTGTAAACAAATTTGGCCTACCAAGCAGAATTCGAACAGATCAGGGACGTGAGAATGTCACTATCGTGGACTACATGAAATCAAGAAGAGGCAGAGATAGAGGTAGTGCTATAACTGGCAAGAGCACCCACAACCAGCGAATCGAAAGGCTATGGAAGGATGTCTACCAGGGTGTTCTAGCACTTTATTATAAATTATTCTATTTCATGGAATATGAGGGAATATTGGATCCCTTGGATGATCTTCATTTGGCTGCCCTGCACTACGTTTACCTCGCTAAAATCCAAGAAAAGCTGGACATTTGGAACAGAGCTTGGTCCCAGCACAGAATGCGAACTACACGGTCATCACCTATTAGACTGTGGGTTGCAGCCAACTTCAAAACCCAGTAGGAATAGAATTGAGAAGCGAGGATATTCCCTATTATGGTGTTGAAGGCTTCATTAATGATAATGAAGTTGGGTCTGACTCTGATAGACCAGTATTTGATCCTCCCTCATTTCAGTTGAGCAACAACTGCAGGCAGCAATTGAACATTGAAATTTCACCAACATGGACCTCATCTAACTTTGGAATCGATTTGTATCTCAAAGCTCTTCACATTGTTAAAACTTCAGTGGCTACTTAGATGTACATGAATCATTTGAAGAAATAGAAACAGATAGTGGGGCAGAATTGTTAAGTCGGGGGTTTGGGTAGGGAATGAAAAACTGTTATAGACCAGTACATGCAGGCATGTACAAAAGCAGTCAAACTGTAACAAACTCAACTTTAATCTACCTTCTTCTAAATTTGTAATTTAGTATTAAGTATCTGTTGTTGTAAATGTTGGAACGTGCCAGGAACAAAACAAACTGATATAAATGTGACAGTGAACTAATATGAAAAAAGGAGACGTAGCTTTCAATGACAGCATTGTTGTGCTTAATCATTCCTTTCATTATACATGTATAACCTCTTCCATTTACAACAGAACAATAACAGTGAGATTTAACAATACAACAGTGACAATTTAGCGGAAGCCATAACAGATGAAATATTAAAGTGGCCATTCAAAAGGGAGCTCTAACAAAGGAATCAATTACAGCTCTCTACTGCCATCTCACTTCTAACATCATAGTTCAGTATTAAACTCGTCTCGTCCGTTTACAAGAAGAAATAACCATAATTAGTGGCAATAATAATTTTAAAGGTTACCGAAGTAGCCAGTCAAAAAGGCACAGTCATATAAATCAAATAGCTTCTCGTCAGATGGAAGAGACACATTAAGTGATGGGGTTGGCAAAGTGATGGCATTTATGCATGTGTTTGCCAGTGGTAAGAATGAATTATCAACTTCGGTAAATAATAATGTGAGATGCAGTTTAAATCCCAAGAGAGGTTCTTCATCTGACCATGTGGTGAACCACAATACATGAGCTAGAGTTACTCCTTTTCGTCTTCCACCTGTTCAAACAAGCAAACAAAAAGCAATTACCAATTCTATTTAAAATATAATAATACTCATATACATGAAAGGAACAAGCTGCCGCCTTCCCCTTAAAAAGACAAACAGCCATTGTAGATACACTGTGCTGCTGTGTGGTGGATCTGGTTTGACTTATTTTGTCAATATGACAAGCAAAAAACACTGTTTGGGTAGACAAGAGATGTATTATTTGTTTTAAATGTTATATAAATGATAGAGTTATGATAGTTATCATCCTCTTCCAACTGCCTTTAGTTTCTTTTTGAAGACAATTAGGCTTGGTGGACACCCTTTCATACATAGTGTATAGGAAAGGTTGAAACGAGGCTAAAGGCAATTGGGAAATGGCCTTTCTCAACTGGCTGATTAATTTGTTTGAAGACTTACTTGTTACTTCTCGTAGGTACCTACAAAATGCACTATAAACCACTCCCTCATAACGTCTCCGGTTTGCTCCCTCTTCAGAGAACATTGGCTTCAAAAGATTTGTTAATTTTTTTATGGTTAGGGTGGTTGCTGTGCTATTTCTGAAAATGTGGCAAAATATGGGAAACTGCCTGCAGACCTGTCAAAATAAAATAGATAATTTTAATCTGGAAAATCAAGGAAAGAGCAAGCTTGGGTGAAGGCATCTTCTTGTACATATTTAGCCCTAATCATGTTTGCTCATAGTGGAGACTTAAATAAGGAAACGCAATTTATATAGATTTTCCTGAATAACAAGAAGTTAGACTATTAAAACACTGAAACATTTTATGGATAGATATTTTGTCTTTGCGTGCTAACTAGTGCTTTATTAATGTTGTTGCAAAGTCACAACATTATCAAAAAGCTTCCTTATATATGTCTCACCCTGCTGGCTCTTACTGGTGACATCAAATAATCAATTTTTTGAATACACATGTAAATCAGCATGCATTTCTAGTTTTTTCCCCATGGATCTGAATCTATCTAAGAGTAGAAAATAAGGGTCTTGCAGAGTTTGAAGTATACAGATTACAGTCAGTGGTACCTGATAGATTCCTAGTTTGGCCAACCCCTTTTGTAGGTTAGCAATCGCTGGTGATGATGATTTGCTCTGGAATATCTCATCCAATTGATCTTCAGAAAAAAACTGGGGTACCTTGCCATTCTGGACAATGCTTAAACCTGCAAACAATTTATAACTATTACTGACTGTGTATGCCTTCTCAATCCCTTTCAACTCTAATTTGACAGACAAAATGGTGAAGCAATGTTCTTGTACTTCTGCAGGTGTTCTATAGGAAAATGTAAATGTACAAGGGATTTTGAAATAGCTTCCTCTGCTGACCTGGAATGTTGCTGGCAGCAGTTTTACAACACCACCCTCCGAAAGTTACAACGGATGCTCAAAATATGTGTACATTAAAACACTTAAGTATTGTGGATAGCATTGTAAAGAACTACTCTCAATAATACAGCTTAAAATTTGTGACGTACCCATAATCACACCAACTGGATAGTAATCATCTGCGAGCAGTTCACGAATGCCTTTGTCAAAGTATTTCTCTTTTATCTCGGCAAGTATCAGACGAAAGAATTCCCTTCGTGGCCCTCCATAATCACGGGCTATCTGGGGAAAAAATAAACCCAAAGAAAAGTTTTTAAGACCCACCTTTCTTCATAGAAAGGAGAGGTAAGAGCAGGAGCCTGAACCATTTAATTCCCAATATAAAATTAACTTTTATCCTTACACATTCCCACAGAACAACATTGTCAAATTACCAAGACAAATTATCTTGGTTGATCATGCCCTTGGTTCTCATTACCTGTCTCAATGATCCAGCAATAATTTTACATGGAAAGATTCAGTTTCAACCCATATTTTACAATATTATTATTCCATAGGTGTACATTGGATATGAGATGGTAAACAGCCAATGAGGCATGTAGCTCCAAGTTCAAGTTGGCTATAATCATCTGAGTGAAATAATTGTTTTATTAATTAAAAACTGCCCAAAAATATAGAAAACTCACATAAAATGAAAACACCCACAAATTTTCACATATGCTTATCATATTTGTAGAGCATGGTATAATGGCTCATATACCATGATAGCCAAGTTAATGAAAACTCTTGAATTGCATTATCCAATGATCCAGATTTTAATAGTGGGGTTTATAGGCTTATGCAAAGAGGACCAAGCTAACAGTGTATATAAACAAAAATTGTTTACAGAATAAACCTACCTCACCATAGAATGAAACCTCTTAAGTTAAGCGAAGGTCTTCAAGTGCTCCTACTTCTTCAATTGTGGTTTCAAGTAGGTTCATTCTATCCACATTGATGTAATTTGTTTTCCCCTCCAAGGTTTCGCTATGTGATTCAAGTTCCAAGGCCCTACCAGTAACAATGTGTTTCTGCATGCAACGGAGAATCTCCACTGGATTTTGAATGTTGTTTGCCTCACAATAGCTAATGACAGTGTCAACAGGATCCTGATCATCTGTAGCAATGGGTTGACTGGAAACTGCAGGAGAATCCTGCTCCTCTTCAGCTTGACTACTTTCCAGTTGTAAAGAATCATCAACAAGGATAGCATCAACTTTACTATCCAGAGTGTGGCTTTCCTTGATTTTCTCCCCTTCTGAATCTGAATGAGAATCACTATGAAAACCAGCAGTGCACATATGAAAAGAATGTGCGCGAAGTTCACTCATTGGGAATTCCTTTTTGCAGCTCATGCATTTTTCCTTTACTGCACAAGAATTTTCTGGAAGAAGAGATTTGGTGGACAGATTTCTTTGAATTGGTCTGAGATAGATCTTTGACTGGCCTCCTAGGTTGCATCTCAATTCTCTGGCGGCCCAAGAACACTTGAGGGGGGTTAAGTCCCGGCAATTTGGAAGACAGTGAAGCATTTCAAATCCACCTGCTTCCCGTAACTGGGGAAACCCCTTCATATCACCCGCATCATCTTTCTCCCCAGAAATAAGCTTTCCATGTACGGAAGTTTCATCGTCATCTAAATGAAGTTTGATCTTCTTTACTCCCAGGCCGGCCCTGTGCAATGTTTGCTTCTCGGTGGCTGAAGGGATTTTGCACTGATACCTGTCAGCCAAACAGACAAACTGAACAGTCCAAGTGCGTGCAGATTGCTTTTTCTTGTTTTTGGATTGCGTCCTGGAGCCTCTAGGATTAAAAAGCCTCTCTCGCTCCTCGCGGATTGCATCAGCTGAAGGTCTTCCGCCAGGAACACTTCCACCGCCAGCGGAGGTCCCAGCGCTGCCTTCTTCAAAGTCTCTGCAAAGCAGTCGCAATCGAACACGATCTCCAATCGCTGAAACACCCAGTCGTTCAATTTGCTCGTCGGTCATCGCCAAAATTGTCGAAGGAACTATTCTTTCTCTTCTCAACCTAGCTCCTAACCCCTGAAGATGGAGTTCTTTCAAAATGTCCTCCATTTTGCGAGGAAAATGGCGCGAAGGGTAGAATTGCATTCTGGGTTTTCCCGGCTTTCCACAGACTACCTCCAAATTGTACGGCCCTTTGTGAAGACTGGTGACGATCGTATCGAAGAAAGCACCGAATGAAATGAAGCAAGCACCGAATATAATGAAGTAAGCACCGAATATAATGAAGTAAGCACCGAAAAAAGGAAGTACCGAATATAAGGAAGAGAGAACCGAATATAATAGTGTTAGGACCCGTAATAATGAAGAAAACACCAAACAAAGTTAGAACCGAATATAATGAACAAAGCACCGAATATAATGAAACAGCACCGAATATAATGAAAAAAGCACCTAATATAACGAAGAAAGCACCGAATATAACGAGGGAAGCACCGAATATAATGGAATAAGCACCGAATATAATGAAGACAGCACCGCATATAAAGACATAAGCACCGAGTATAATGGAATAGGCACCGAGTATAATGAGTCAATCACCGAATATAATAACATAGGTACCAAATATAATGACATAACCACCCAATATAATAAAAAAAAGTATCATAAGACCGTTCTGGCGTTCCATAAAGGCTCAGTATGTTTTTGTAATCCCCTCCTCGTAAAATCTTCAATCGCAAACAACCCTCCTCCAACGTGGTTACATTTACCCTTTCCAGAAAAATCAAGTCCAGCCGAACACGTGCATGCCGCTCGCAAAATGTCGCTCTGAGGTGAAAACTCCACAACAACTCTGTACGTTTTTTTTTTCACTGATGGAACTACGCTGGCTTTCACGTAGGTCTGGCCTTGAAAGATTTTGCTTTCCAGTCGTTTCGCATTTCCTTCAAAGAAGAATTGGTACGATTTTAGCTTTTTGTAATGTGTGTCCTTCGACAAAATATGGCGGTACTTGCGTGTAGACACGACAAGGTAATCGCAGAGCTGAATGAAGTTCAGTTCTGGAAGCTGTTGCAAGTCTGTTGACCATCCAAGAGCAGAGATTCGTCTCATTATTTCGTCGTATTTGAAATGGCCACTGTTTTCAGCACAGTTTTCAGCAGTTTTCTGGGTATTTTCGGCCAATCTTTATACCACGTCTCGAATAAGCAATGCGTACACTTTCAGAACCAGGTCCGCATTCATTCTGCCGGCGATTTTTGGAATTGCTTTTCAAAATATTCCTCAGATCTTAAACTGTGAGCTTCTGTATATCCTCCAGCGTCAAAGTTTCCTTGTCTTTATATTTTATGACCATTTTAAGCGAAGATATAACAAACGATACGAGACAGGTTAGTGAAACAGCTGTGATTTTGGTATGTTTGTATCCCCCGGGTCAACGCGAGCCTCGACATGATGTTCGCGTGGTTACTAATCCAAGATGGCACCGGGAACTGTAAAAGGGCCTATTATGGCATTGTCAGTGTTCTACCTGCATTTTAACCAGTCTATTTCCATAAACTTTCTGTTTAGCTTTCTTGAGACGGAACATCTTTGTATCCTGGAAAATATGTTGTGGTTCAAATTAAACTTTGGTTTAAAATATTTCAAATCATTTTGATTTTTTCCTCTTTCAGATTGATATCATAAATATGAGACAGTTTAAGATAAAAATCAAACTGGTTTGAGAAATTTAAATCAAAGATAAATTTTAAATCACAACATATACATGTGCAGGACTTGACAAATGTTTTCTGAGGATGAGTTCTAAATGGAAGAACTGTAGTTCTCATACAAAGAACTGCTAGTCTTATACAAAGAAGATTAATTATTGTTGAAAGGAGAAACAATTTATTCTTGTGGGAAGTTACAATTCAGTTGTCTAGTAATGAGCTCTTAGCTCAAGGGGAAAAGATAATAACTAATTAAGGTCTCATGAAAATGCTCTGGAAAGGAAGATTTAAATCATTTGCACGATGAAGGATAATAAGGCAATCTAAATTGCAAGTATTTATGTTCTAATAATCAATATTTAATCCTCTAACTCACAAACATTTTGAACACAAAATCAGTCAATCAATGCAATTCAATACACTTAAATTATAACACATTTACTGTATTACAAATCATGGTTGCCACAGCCACAGGAGTTTGAAATTCCCAGACTTTCCCTGACAAATGTAAAATTTCCCTGACCAACTAAAGTAAAAAAATTCACAAATTAGTCTTGGTAATGACCTCCAACCTCCCCTCCCAGCCAACCTCTCCACTCATTTATTTACACTTTTAGAAAAATGTACCAAAGTTAAGAAATTTATTATTATTATTATTATTGTTTATTCATTTATTTATTTATTCATGAAGAAAACACTTACAGTACAATAAAACATAAAGTAAAGTAAATTCCATGCAAAATGAAAACTACGGCACTTTGAGAACTACAATAGATATAGAAATAAACTAGTCATACCTACCGGTACAGTGCCAACGAGCAAATGGAAACTTGCGTAATTTGAACATTTGCCATATTTCTTTTCATATTAACGTACCTTTTAAATTTAGGAAGGGTGTTGTTCCTTACCATTTTTGTATGGTATTTAATGTTTACTCGTTATAAATTGTATTACAGTATAAGTAATGAAGAGTAAATACTATAGATTTTTATAGAACTTTTATTGAACAGTGAAAGTTTTATTTTATTCATATTATAACAGCTAACCAAGAAAATGAATTTCCTCTTAGAATGTCCTCAGAGTTTGCAGTTAACCTTCAAGAATACAATGGTAGAGTTATTTGAAGCACATGCGTTTTGTAAACTATGTTTTGTTAAATATTGCTAAACTTGTCATATGAGAAATACTTCTTACTTGTGCAAGGTTCACAAGATAGTATTGTTTCTTATGTGTAAACTAACAGGTCTCCCAGCCAATTTTTGGAAAATCTCAGGAAAATAGGCTGTTCGAGTTCAAAATATAGGAATTTTGTGCCAATAAAATAGGCTTTTTATAGGAGCTAAAATAGATTTCATACAGTTAACGAATATAGAGTAGGAAACACACTTTCTGTGCTTTTAATTTTTGTAGTCAAATGTGTTAAACAGTAACATTTGTTAAAGGGCTACTAGAAAATGCTTTGATTTCCAAAACTTGTTAAAACAAAAACCTTATAATAATATTTAAACAATTTAAACAAAACAATTTTAAGCAAACTGTAACATTGTTGCTGTTAACCACAAAAACAAAAGTTGTCTTTTGTCTTTTATGTCACTCAATTTTTCTCTTTTGCAAATTGATCATCTAATCTAAGCATATTTAATTTAAACNGCTTTTTATAGGAGCTAAAATAGATTTCATACAGTTAACGAATATAGAGTAGGAAACACACTTTCTGTGCTTTTAATTTTTGTAGTCAAATGTGTTAAACAGTAACATTTGTTAAAGGGCCACTAGAAAATGTTTTGATTTCCAAACCTTGTTAAAACAAAAACCTTATAATAGTATTTAAACAATTTAAACAAAACAATTTTAAGCAAACTGTAACATTGTTGCTATTAACTACAAAAACAAAAGTTGTAATGTCTTTTATGTCACTCAATTTTTCTCTTTTGCAAATTGATCATCTAATCTAAGCATATTTAATTTAAACATTGTTTCTATGATCGATACTAAAATAGCACACAGCTTAATTGATGTCTGGGGATCAGTTTTTAAAAATATGACTTGTAACAACCTTTATACTACTAGAATCTTATATAAAATTTAAACAATTTAAACAAAACAATTTTAAACAAACTGTAACATTGTTGCCATTTACTATAAAAAGTTGCAGTGTCTTTTATGTCACTCAATTCTTATCTTTTGCAAATTGATCATGAAATCTAAGCATATTGAACTTTGTTACTATGATTGATATTAAAATAGCACACAACTTAATTGATGTCTGTGGATCAGTTTTTAAAGATATTACTTTTAACAGCCTTTATGCCGCTAAAGAGTTGTTTGTGCAATTACATCACCAATACAAGCAGATGTGACCTTAGTAATCACATCCCTGTTAGCATAAAAAATAAACTTTATATCTTTAAGGTCCATCAGAAACTCTTCAATAGTATCTGAGTCACTTGAAAGAGTAACTTGTGAAGACACCGACAACAGGCAGTTTATGGTGTCAGTGAATGCTGTCAGCCAAACTTCTTTCTCTTCAATTTCTACTTTGACTTGAACTGAGGCATCTCGGTTGCATTCAACTTGATGCTGTCTTACACCACAACTTTTGCATTTGATGTATTTGTGATTAGATATTTCTGTTATCTTTCTCTTACAGGTTTGGCAAGCAATAAACACACTTAGCTTGTTTACGAACTTAAAATTCTTGACGCTTATTTCTTTTTCTGGGGTCTCCAGTAACAGAGGTCCCTGCAACGACTGCAGTTTTTTTTATCTGCTTCCTTGAAGGTAGTTGTTGGTGTCYTTGTCAGGTGGGTTCTTCCTTGGAAGTTCTTTACYTTAAGGTTTCGAKATTCATACGTTGATCCATTTTTTAGCTTGTCAATAAGACCATCCCAGATGTGAATGTTTGCAGTTCCAGTCTCGTCTTCCAAAATGCAGTCTTCTTTTACCATCGTCACCTTTTGAGTGGATTTCACAGGCACAGACTTCGGTTTGTCTTTGCCCAAAGAGATGGATGCTGTTACATTTACTTGTGGCTTAATTTTTAAAGTCTGTAGTTGCGAAAGGGTTATCGTGACAGCTGGCTGCATTGAGGAAGATGATTGGGATGGACCAATTGGCAAATAATCAAATTCAATGTCAAATGATGGTGCCAACCTGACATCTGATTGTTGGTTAAATATGATATCCTTGTTTGACTTGTTCTCTTTAGTTTTTGACAGAAGAACAGGTTTTTTTGATTCTGCATGTTCTTTAAGGGTTGAGTGACGTGGGATGTTAAACCCAACAATTCGTCGGACTTTTGAAGGACTAGTTTGGAGGTTGAAGTCATACCACTCAGTTCTTGAATGTTTGGATTGTTTTATGGGGCTCAAATTTTGAATGTAGCCACGCAGTGAAGCTAAAAAGAGAAATGTACATGTTAAAATTAAATCAGGAAAGCTTTTTTGTAAGACAGAGGAAGTTTAATTTAATTTACTACATTATTGGGAACATACTGTATCTAGTAAACCACGCTGCAATAAAATAAATGTGAATGAATAGCACAGAGAACATAGTTACTAAGTGAAAGTTTTGTGGTTTCTTATGCTCTGAAGAGTAGATGAATATGACATTACATCTTTTGTATAGGTTTTAAAATTGGTGAGATTGTTAGGAAATCTTTATATTGTTTAAGTTTCTTCTTTCCCACTTCCAATCACCTTTTACAAAAACCACTTACCTGATATAGGGTCTGGCTTACTGTTGGACATTTTTGACATACTGTTCTCGTGAAATCTGAAATGAAAATTAGTGATTACTGAAAGTTGTCCTTGAGTTTGAAATACATTTGATAGGTTTTTCATAGACATGTATATCTTATTGTATATAATTTGTATATAATTTGTATATAGTTTTAATATTGTAACACTGGATACGTATGTTTAATTAATGATTAATAAATACAATTGTTATTAATATTATTAATGTATACTAAGAGCTGTTCAGGTCCAACTCACTGTTGTCATTTTGCTGTTTCTTTTTTTTCTCTTTCATGCTTAAGATGTGTGAAGTTTCTTTTGC